GCATTACTTGCTTTTCTGCCATTAGAGCATATTGCCAAGCATCCTCAAGATTGTACAAATGGACAATTCCTATTTCATCTTTAATATTTTGATTTAAACCAGCTGGATAATGTGAAGTTGATTGTTCACCAGTTTCATTCAAACCAACCCTATAAGATTGTTTAATTCTGAAGTATACTCCTCTACTGACATTCTGTTCTGTTTCAATGTATGAAATTTTTCATACAACTCCGTTGCATAATCTGCTGGCAAAAATTGTTTGTGCATCTTTGTTTTCATGTGTTCCCAGGTACTGATTTTTGGTTTGCCTTGTCGAGAATGCTGTTCTTCAACTCTCTTCCACCATTGAAGTGCAGCTCCTTTCAACTTCAGCTTCACAAAAATCACTTTCCTATTTTCTGCCATGTGCTTCCAGTCAAAATAATTGTCTAAACTAGCTTCCCAATCTAAATAATCTTCTGCATGCATTTTTCCATGAAAATCAGCAACTTCTATTTTAATTCCTCCACCATTCAAATCAAGGGCATGTATCAACTGCTCTTCCAATCCACCTCAATCCACCTCTCACGGCTTGATTTGCGGTTCCAGTTTCATGAAAAGGGTTATCATCTCTTCCCTCCACGGTCACATGCTCCAGACTACCTTCCAGTGTGTCTGTAGGGTTATGGTCACCTTCAGGCATCTCCATACAGGCTCCCATGGGTTCCTGTCGCTGTAAAGCTTGCACAGCTCACGACAAGTCCTCAATCATATGTCACATCTCAGCTAATTCTGCTTGTTGGCCTTTATTTCCTCTGCCACGACCAGCCATAGCTCTGATACCAATTTGATGCAGGGAAAATAGGGGTAAAACAAACAGAAACTAAGAACTCCGTAAATTTAAAGATGGAACCAAGAAAACTTAGGTTTTTAACCTCGAGTATATTCTCAAACTAAAATCTTATAACAAAAACTGCTCTTGAAATCTAAGAAGAATATCTATATATACTAACAAGCCAAGAATCCTAATTCAATTCTAATTTGAACTTCTAATAAACTATGAACTCCTAATAAGTACTAATTCTAATGCTAATTAAAATGTCACATGATATCCACGACTTTCGTAAAATTAAAACTTAGACTTCAAATAAAACTCAAACTAAAACAAATAATTAAAAAAAAGAAAAGAAAAAAAGACACACTTTATGCTCCCACAGCAATACAAGAGCCCAAGTTCACATAACATGGCAGATTATGGTGTTGAATTCAGACACTTATTCTGGTGTTTATATATATTTTAGCTTGAATCATATAGATAAGGTGTTTAGTATTGAAGTACATGCATTCATTGATTATGCCCATTTCCTTCTCAGGTTCTATCTCGCCTTGCTCCATTTGAGAGAGGGATATATGAGGATTATGTGGCTAATTTTTGGTGCACTAGTTCAGTAGTTATCAAGTGGAAAAGATTATTTACAACAAAAGTGCTTAAGCTTCTAAGCTTTGCTGCAACAGTTTTAGCTTGTCTACCCTCAATGATTCAGCAAGTGCTAGATCCAAGCAGTAAAGGCTTTCTTTATGCATTGCTAAATAGTTCTTTCTCATTCTATCTATTCTCATTCCAAGGTAAATATCATTTCCCTTTTTGGCCATTTGATTCCATTTTTATTTTATCTTGTTTAGCAGTTCCTAGCACCGCTGACTGTCACTAAAATTTGCAGTGCATGAGAAGTCTATTTTGCTTCCACTGCTGCCTCTAAGCCTGCTAGCTCTGGAAGAGTCTCGACCTTTGATGTGGCTAACACATTATGCCATGTTCTCAATGTTTCCTCTTCTACGACGTGACAAACTGGTTCTAGCATACATGGCTCTTTATGCTCTGTTCACCCTCATTTATTTTGCACCTGGTGTGAGGTGTAGTGGCAAAACAACTCATCAGACCCAAAAGGCTGAGAAAGGTAGAAAAACCCCTTCACTTGCTACTCTTCTCAAAATTGCAATGGCCTTTCTTTATCTATGCTCTCTTATTTTGCATGTTATTTACTTGACCATGCATCCACCACAGAAGTATCCGTTCCTTTTTGAAGCTTTGATCATGCTTCTATGCTTCTCTCATTTCTTGTTGTTTACATTTTACTTCAATTATAAACAGTGTATGTTGTCAAAATTTCTTACATCCAAGGATAAAGAAAAGAAAAACATCTGATTCCTCTTTGTAGCACTAACATCAGAAGAAATACTTTGTTCTCCATTGAAATCTGCAGCAAACTTGTATTTAATCTTTCCTTTTCTTTTCTTCTTTTTCATTAACTATTGTTGAAGTGGGGTGGGAAGATCTGAGATTTCCTTGAGTACGTCTCCATGGGATAATTTCTCATGAATGCTTCAATCCTGATGTAAATGGTTTACTTTCAGGAAATTTTGCAGTTTGAAAATAAAATTTTGACATTAGAAAAGGCTGCATTCTAGAATTCACATGCGTTTACTTCATAAATCCAATAAATCAGATATAACCTTTGAATCTGTTTGTTTCCAAACTTGGTCAATTTGGAAACTATCTGAATTAGTAGAAGCATTATTTCTATCTTGTGTGAATTACCTTTAGCAGCAAAGAGAATAGTTTCTATAGCAAACCCACAATCGAAAGCAAAGCAATTTGAATGTGACACAACCTAGATCACTCCCTTTAGTTGGTCCAATAATAATCTTCTTCCCATGTGCAGCAAGCAAAAATGTCAAATTCCCAAAAAAGGAAAAAAAGAAAGCCTAAACATAAAGCAACATTAATTTCCAAGCAAAACGTCTGGTTTCTCAATTATTGTCGAAAAAAGAAAAAAAAAAAAACGTCTAGTCTGTTCATTCTAACGTGTCCATTCCCCTCTCCTGATCGACCCAATCACAACCGTACAAGATCATTACTTTCAATATGATGTACCGACATGATCAAACCTTTTTTTTCCAAGATGGGAACTGCTTGTAACACACTGCCTTTAATAAGGGCAACTCCATCCCGCAAAGAACATGTTCCTTTGCTTTCAACTGAGGCTAGCTTCCGAACTCCACCAAGCAACCCAATGGCCGCGTGCTTCATTAAGGTAGGTGGGCTGTTCACTAGATTTAGGGATCAAATCTTCAATTGCTAACATCTAACAATTCTAACTTACTAATTATTACTTTTATCAAAAAAAAAAAAAAGAAAAAAGAAAAAGAAAAAAGAAACTGAGGCTAGCTTCCTAAATTATGTATCTGCAGATGTCCATATTGTCCCCTTTTGACTCATTAGTCAAAGTAATTCCTTTTTCATAGTATGAAAATATGCAGCTTTAATGGTTGATTATGATTCTCCTAATGCTTTCCGTTATTGATGACATTCTAAAAAAAAAACTTGCATCTTTTCTTTACTCCCTTAATCTTTCGTCAAAGAAACCTTTTTGACATTTTAATGCAAAATTTCCACACTTTTTACAATATCATTTGGTATGTTTTACGCACCGAGTTATCCATCCTTGCCGTCAGATTAAATACATAGCTATTTTTTCTCCCTTGATGGAACATAGACTATTGTGATTGGGTATAGATTCTTGAAACTGAGTCTAAGTTATCCCTTTATCATAATTAAAACGAGATCAAGGTTAAATTAGGTGTTTATTTACTTTCGGCTAAAAGGGTGTATTCTTGATGCAATAGGTATTACCGTTGGCGCCATAAAAGCAAAGTTGTTTAGCTAAAGTACTTAGAATTTTGTTCATATTGGTATGTGGTTTTGTTCATGCATCACTATTGATTTTGCCTGTGAGAAATGAAAGAGTGTTGACCGTCGGTCTCTAATGTGTCGGAGTGATTTACGTAGTCAAAAAGTTATTCTCAAACAGTACTTCTATCAAAATTCTAAATAGGGTATCGGTTATTTTCTTAATATCATTTTTGACATGATCAACATCTTCAAATGCAAAGCATTAAGTGGCATTTTCTTGTAGTTAAAGAAACTATAGCAGTACCTATTTATGTGCATGGGCAAGAAATTAGACAAGGATGAAGTGCCAAAGGGATAGTTCATGAACATTGTAGTATATGTATGATCTTCCATCCCCAGAAAAATTATATTAAAAATGTAGAAATAAAGAAATGGATGGAGCTTCTTCTGAAGCAAAAGTTGACTAAAAATTTGCAAAGAGAATCAACTTGTACTAATACACAATACTTATGTGGCTCCCATAAGGGCAAATGCTCGTCTCTTTTGCCTTTATAGCTATTTGACTCTGATGATATATGTGTTCCTTTGAGCAAGAATGGATCTTTAGAGACCATCCAATTTAAAATCAATTACGACAATTAGCAATAGGTTTATATCTATGTATCTTTTCTTACTAGTTCATCAATGCAGAACAACATGGGCGGAGCCGCGGAGTTGTGGGGGACGGGGGGTCTCAGGCCCCCCTAGACTTTTGAGAAAAAATAGTTTTAATACCATGAGTTTTATTTCAATCACTTTCATCCGTCTATTTTTCAAATTCATCCTATTGTAGTCTCTCTTTTTTTGGCTTTTTTATTTAATTATTGAATTTTTTTTTAATTATTGAAGATCATTTTTGGAAATGATGAGAAAAAAGAAAATCAAGATTTATAAAATATAATAAAAAATGGAGATTAATTGAATGAAAAGTTGTTTGTTATCATCTTTTTACAACTATTATTTCATTAATAGCCCTTTAATTTTTTAAAATCCTTTTCATTAATATTCTTCCAATCTTATCCTTCAATTAATAGTGTCTACATTGTCAACAACTTTTAGAGGTGTTTGTTTTAGAGATTGGAGAATAAAATATCAATTGTTGACCTTAATTGAATGATTTATAAATTTAAATTATAAATAATAATGATTATTAGCCATTAAATGTTGATTAGCAGTAGCAAAACAATTAAAATTTTGTTTGACAATACTTTTTAGTGTGAGTAAAGGTGCAAATAGGGATATTAATTTTACACTTTTTTTTATTTAAAAATGTTAACTTTGTCAATTTCTAAATAAAGATGTTAATTTTCAATTTTTTTCTAAATAAGGATGTCAACTTTCAAATTTTTTTATTTAAGGATTAATTAGGTGGTGATGTTGCGGCGGCAAACATATTCTTTTAGGTTAAATACTTGAATTGGTCCCTCAACTTTTGTTTTTGAACCTAATTAATTCTTAAATAGAAAAAGTTGAAAATTAGCATTTTTAAATAAAAAAAGTTGAAAGTTGATATCATTATTTAAAAAAGAATTGAAAGTTAGACATGCTTATTTACAAATTGATAAAATTAACATCCTTAAATAGAAAAAAATACAAAGTTGATATTCTTATTTACATCTTTACTCACTTTTCAGTACTTTTTCTTTTAGTTTTTATATCTTTTTATTATTTTAAAAATATATAAAATATTAATTAAAATAAATATTAAATACGTTTTATATATTTTCCATATGTTAAAATATCAAGAACCCTACAACTATGTTGTAAATAGTATTTTCAAACTAAAACTAGTCCAAACACCCCCTTTAATTTATGGGTAAAAACTCAAAAACATTATTTAAAATAATTTTTTTTAAAAAAATTTCTGCCATATCAACTTTTGATAGGGGCATAAACATACTCTTTCTTCATAGAAGTTTCATTTTGCTCCCTAATAAAATTTTCTAGCTCTGCCACTACAGAACAACAAACAGGCTGCGCAAAAAAACAAGCCTCGATCGTGAGTTACAAACACAAATGCGCATAGGGATGGCAATTTCCCTCGATCCCTGCGGGGATCCCCGTCACGGGGACGGGGTGGGAAGGAATATTCCTCCCCGTGGGGCCGGGATGGGGAGCATTTTCCCCCTGCGAAATTTCGTGGGGAATTTTCCCCGCTTCGTGGGGTCCCGCGGAGATCCCTATCCCCGCAAAAATTAAAATAAATATAAATTAATTTTATTTTAAAATTAATTCATCTTTCAAACTCTAATCCAAATCCAAACCCAAACACAAACTCAAACTCAAGTTCAAACTCAATTAAATCAAAATTAAATTTAACCCAATTTTACCTAACCCAACCCAACCCATAAAAATTAATCCAATTCATTCCCCTACTTACATTTAACCTTAACCCTAATTCATTTCTCAATTTTCATTTTCACCTTTCCCTCCATTATTGGTTTAATTTTTGTCTATGTTTTAGTTTAGCTTGGATTAATCTTTATTTATGTTTGGAACAAATTTGTTAATTGTTGGTTTAGTTATTTATGTTGAATTGATTTTTATTT